CTTAGAGCCTGGAGCCTGCTTCGGATTCTGTGTCTCCCTCTCTCTCTCTCAAAAATAAATAAAACATCAGGGTGCCTGGGTGGCTCAGTCGGTCGAGCTTCCGACTTTGGCTCAGGTCATGATCTCACGGTCCGTGAGTTCGAGCCCCACGTCGGGCTCTGTGCTGACAGCTTAGAGCCTGGAGCCTGCTTCGGATTCTGTGTCTCCCTCTCTCTCGGCCCCTCCCCTGCTCACGTTCTGTCTCTCTCTCTCAAAAATAGACACTTTAAAAACATTTTTTTTTTAATTTTTTCTCCTTTGAAAAATTTCTTCTACCAGTACTATGAGACTGGTTTTTACAATAACTCAAAAACAAAACACAAGTTAAAAATGTTTCAAAACTGCACATTGTTCCCCAAAAAGAGCAGTCCCCCTGGCACTGCTGCTGCGGACACAGCACAGGAGTGGGCCCAGCGAGACCGCTTTGCTTCTGGCCTTGTGTGTCCATGTCTGATGACACACGCCCTATCTCCCCTGAGCACAAGAGAAACAACTAGTTCTCCTCGGGTCACCCTGTGCATCTGTTCCCCCACAGCAAACTCTTACTTGTCCTCGGCCTTCGTGAAGAAAATCTTATCCTGGGGATTCTTTGCCTTCAGAGAACACACTGGAAGTAGCTCTGGATACATGAACACCTTGCTCGTGGCCAGGATCCAAGCCACTTGCTTTGGCAAACAGGGAAATTCATCTGCTGTGAGAAAACAAAATCCTGTGGTAAATGAAATTCTAGAATAAAGGAGGGCGTCACAAAAGCTTCCGAACGCATTCTCGCATTTATCTAGAGCTGTCCCTCCCTAGGGAAGCCCGCCCTCCCGCCCTGCCTCGCCCAAGGTTTCAGCCATCGTCCTCGGCCTGACACATGCCTGCCGGGAGTCCCCCGTGAGCTCCTGCCAACTAGTCCTCTCACCCTTCCCGTGTGGGACCCCTAACCCCTAAGTAACAGGGACACTCACAACAATGATGACCGAGAACACCCAGCTCACTGTGTGCTCAAAGTCGTTACCTCCTCTCCCCCTTTAGATCCTTGGAAGATAAGTGACCTTCAACAATGCTTGCTTTCTTCCAGGGTAAGATGTGAACTTCTTCAATCTCCCTCACAAACCTGGTATTCCAAATTTTATTTGATTTGATTCTTACTTAACTTTCATTAAGTCCTCCCAGAGTCCTCCTGGGGTTGGGAACAAAAGCCATAGGAGGAGTGAGACACCTCCGTCTCACTCAGTTCTGTCCTGCTGCCTCAGCCTCTCAACTCCAGGCCTGTCTGCCTCTCCAGAGAGAGGAAACACGACTGAATTCGTGGTTCTCCCTCCACAAATGTTTTTATCTCCCCAGAAGAAACCAAGAGACCCCACAGGCGGCATTTATCACCACGGTGTGCAAGTTTTCATTACCAACACAGGGCTAAGAAACTAGTTTGAGATCCCTGTGTGTGACACAGTATACTTAAACTCAATTATATTCAACTTCACTGCAAAAGTCAGAGATTTAAAAAGAAAATCCAAAGACCAACACAGCCGGAGCAAACCACAACTGATCTTCTAAACCAGGAAACAAATCAGAAGCAATCATTTCATTCAAGGGAACAGCACACATTTTCTCACAAACTACTCAGCGATGCAAGGTAGAAAGCCAGCCAGCACCATCTTCAGAATATCGAACGTGGCAAATGTTCAACACGTCTGATTTGTGCCTAATCCCCAAATCAACATTTCATTCAAAATGGAGACACCGGGGCGCCTGAGTGCCTCAGTAGGTTAAGCGGCCGGCTTCAGCTCAGGTCATGACCTCGCGGTCTGTGAGTTCGAGCCCCGCGTCGGGCTCTGGGCTGACAGCTCAGAGCCTGGAGCCTGTTTCAGATTCTGTGTCTCCCTCTCTCTGACCCTCCCCTGTTCATGCTCTGTCTCTCCCTGTCTCAAAAATAAATAAAAACGTTTAAAAAATAAATAAATAAATAAATAAATAAATAAATAAATAAATAAATAAAAATAAAATGCATTTGCTAATGTTCAAATGATCTTTAAAAAAAACAAAAAAAACAAAAAAAACCAAAATGGAGACACCATTGCAACCATGAAGGAAAATAAAAGTTTCTTGATGAAAAAGAGAGTAAAACCCTAACCACAAACCAACTTAAGCACTTGACTTTCCTCTGCCAGACCCCAGGCTGTCCCGACCTCGCGCGTGGTGCTTCCCCCCCTCACATCCGTCTGGGACACTTCTCAGCACGGAGCGCACATCTCTGCCCCCTGCACCGTCCTGTCCACCGCCCCATCCCTCACGGAAGCCCAAGCACCGTCACGTCCTTCCAGAACTTAGGCAGTGGGTATCAACGTCCCGTCTGCTAGGACGCCAGGTATGGGGTGAGACTCCCACTTGTCAAGGCAAGTAAAGGCAGAAGTGAACAGATCTGTCCCTACCAGTCTTCTTGACAGTTTTCCGAGGACTCCAGTCGACGCTGACATGCGTGCTGAAGGCTTCCACGAGCTGCACTGCCCCCGGCAGGTTACAGGGCTGGAACAAGGTCTGAAACCTCGGGTTGAACTGATGGCGGAGAGCGACGGAGCTCTGAGCAAAGGTTCCCAGCTCCTTCTGGGAAGACAGGGCACAAAGGAGACCTCAGTCCCAGACGACTAACACTAGCGGAGCCCCTGTCAGCCCCTGAGGGGAGACCTGCCCTCCAGCTGGAGGGTAAACACAGGTAGAAGTCAATCACTATAATTACTCCACCCACGGCACTCTGTGGCTGAGCCCTCAGGTATCCAGGAGGGGCGCCGACACTGGTTCCACCGCTCAGCCTGCAGGGTGCTCGCTCTGGCTCCCCAGCTAGAACTGAGGTTCTCAAGAGTGAGAACAATTACTTTTTACGACTTTTTCTTTTCGGGGCGCCTGGGTGGCGCAGTCGGTTGAGCGTCCGACTTCAGCTCAGGTCACGATCTCACGGTCTGTGAGTTTGAGCCCCGCGTCGGGCTCTGGGCTGATGGCTCGGAGCCTGGGGCCTGTTTCCGATTCTGTGTCTCCCTCTCTCTCTGCCCCTCCCCCGTTCATGCTCTGTCTCTCTCTGTCCCAAAAATAAATAAACGTTAAAAAAAAAAAAAAATTAAAACTTTCTTTTGGTTTCTCTGAATAACACCTAGACAATTCAAAATTAAAACCCTTTCCTCCAGAATGCTTAAAAATGTCAGAACCGAAATTAATCCTATACACGTAGCTATTGAGCCACATGAACGGACAATGAATTCAGTAAAAAGAACAGAAGTACGGAAAACCTAAGAAGTCAGGGTAAGTCTAAAGATGAGGAAGAAAGCCCAACAAAAAAGTCACAGAACAGTCCTAAGAAAACCGGATGGCTCTCTGGTCTTCCTGGAGGTCAGAGCCTCATGCTCTCTTGGCAAACGCAGGAAGCCACAGGAGTAGCTGCCAACGTGTGCAGGAGACAAGAATGAACGTAGACGGTGGCGGGTGAGCATCTGTGCGAAGCGACCTCCCAGGCTAACCGACCCCCAAGTCTGTAGAGGGAAGGACACGTGGAGCCTTACGAGAAATATCCTGGTGGTGCTGGCCTCCGAAGTGAGGTTGGGGTTGGAGGAGGCAAGAAGGTGAATCTGCGTCAAGAGCTGCACGTGCTAAGGAGGGAAAAGAAACGACACAGCGACACGTTACGAGGTTGTCACTCCAGGGACCCGGAAGGCTCTCCCAAGACGTCTGCCACTCGACCACACGCTCTGCTTTCCGAAGAGACGAGGAGATGGCACCTTTGCGTGGTGTGAGTCTCTCAGAGATGTTCCTCCAGCAAAATGACAGAGCCAGAGGAATCTTAGCCTCAGACCAGAGGGACTGAAATTAGGAAGAAGAAAAAACTCCTCCGGGAAGTGAGGCTGTTCAGTTCAGAACGGATTAGGAGAGACAGAAACCTGTGATCCTAATGTTAAGGGTGGCCACGTGCACGAGTGCTCTTGCCTGAGCCCTACGGGTACAAACACGGTGCCTTCCGAGGGCCTAAGCGATGAGAAGGCACATCGAGCCACCTGCTCCGGATATTCAGACCACCGCTTCAGCGGCGGGCCGCGGACGACCCGGCGCCGGCCTCGCCGAGGGGTCTTACCTGCTGCATCTGCTGCTGAAGCCGCCGCCTCTGCGCCGGGTCTAGAGTCAGCGTCTGGTGGACCTTCTCGTTCTGGGGCTTCGCCCTCTCGACCTCCTGCTGCTGTCTGCCCGAAGACTTCTTCACCTTCAGCTGTTCAAGCTGCTCCTTCACTGTGCGGTGCTGCTCATTTAGCAAGTTGGCCAGTGGTTCCTCAAACCTATCCCCGACAGGGAGGTGACCGCACGTGAACATTCCCTAGGTCCCCAGCACGTCCAAGTCCCCCCGACGACGGCAGGCTAAGAGTCTGCGTAACTTCCACCTTCTGCCAACTCCCACATCCCACTTCAGCCAACAAACTCCCAGTCTATCCAAGTCTGTTAGCATAAGCTGCTAGCAAAAATTCAAATAAGATGGTCCCGAACTGCACTGCCCCCTCATTCTTCCACGATTAGTCCTCTACATAATACACAAATGAAGGAGAAGTTAGACAAAAATCTAGGAACAGAGAAATGTCTGGATAACAAAGGAGTCCGTGAGCCAGCGGGAGGAGCCCCTCATCCTTGGGGCCTCCTGACATCCACAATTAACCTGGGACGTGTCCCTAACGGTGACACGGAATCTTCTCCAAACCCAGCATCTGTTCCCTCACTCACACATGACCACACCCCAGGTCCGGCTTCTGCCCTCCTGCCACTCCCATCCATCTAGGCTGCCCTGCCTTCCTTTCTGACCAAGACCTAGTGTGAAGGGATCCACTAAACCACAGGGCAGCTGGGAAACACAGTGAGAAGCTGGTTCAAGTATCGCCCTGCCTGCCCGTGAGCACCTCCCCTTCTAGCCCAAATCCCTCCCCTCGGCTGTGGGACCGGCCCCCGCCTCCTGAGAGCGGCCATCCAGGGCTGAAGCACCCACATGCCTAGCTCCCAGGCCGGCTCTGAGGCAGAGCCCCCGCACTCCAGGATTAAGGCAGGACCGGGGTTCTGTGCAGTCAGGACACAACCAGCTCCAGCAAGTATGAAATCTCTACGTGGCAACAAGAGTAACAACAGCTACATGGTAACTTTTCTGTAGCCTCTGGAGATAAACACTATGTTTCCTTTCACAGTTTTTAGCAGGCACAGGCTAAAAACCTAACGTCATGGCACGAGCCTGGGTACAATGTTTCCTGAGATCTGAAAACTCCATTGTCTGTGCTCCCGGCAGAACAACAGAGGAGCAGAAGCACGAGAACCGTGGATGAAGCACAAACAGCCCGCGGCTGGTTTTACAAAGTATTGCTCAGGTGGCTGACGAGGGGGACACCGATGGCTCACTTTCCCTGCGACCAAAGCATGTTCACAAATCAACTGCATTATGAACTCAGAAAGTGGGTCAAAGAAAGACTCTTAGAAATCTCGAAAATGTTTCCCCCCAAAAAAGTAAATAGGTGAAATGATAAAGTGTTCCCTAACTCGATGGGGGGGGGGGGGGGGGGGGGGGGGGGGGGAGGATCTTTTACAATGTAAACTTTTATCCTATACCACGTAGCACACTTTCAGTATCTTACAATTTTGTCAATTATACCTGAATAAGAGGGCGCCCGGGTGGCTCATGAGCGGGTTGAGCATCCAACTTTGGCTCAGGCCATGATCTCATGGTTCATGAGTTCGAGCCCCACATCGGGCTCTCTGATGACAGCATGGAGTCCACTTCCGACCCTCTGTCTCCCCTCTCTCTGTCCATCCCCCACTCACACTCTCTCAAAAATAAACAGTAAAGAAAATTATACCTCATTGAAGGTTAAAAACAAAAAAGGGAGGGGGAGGCTATCCCGAGATTGTGTTGTAATTATATTATGGTATTTATTATAATGGCGTGTATTTCGGGCTTTTATGGAACGGTCAGCAGACCTTGTTTCCTGTACTAAATTGCCCGTTCCCTGAAGGCCTAGCTTTCCGATGGCTCCCAAGCTCTCCGATCAGGTCACGCTGCTAAGCTCACACACAGCACCACCCAGGCACAGAGCACACCCTGACCACCAGCCAGTCACCTGACCACATGTGCTGCTACGCAGAAAGAATGGACAACACACTACAGCCCAGATGGACCGTGCAGACCCGTCACACGTGGGGGTGGAGGGGCAGCGCGACTCCAAGCCCCGGGCGTGACTGCAGCTGGTTCGCGGGCTGCTCGCCTACTGCCGCAGCCACAGACTGTCACTAACACTGACACAACGTCAACGGCCAATGAGGAGAACAAAAGGGACACAAGGCTGGTATGACCGGGGGTGGTTTCTGTGGCTGGCCACCGAGTCCTCGCACCGCTCCAGCACCACTCACCTGGAGAGGCTGCTATGGACGCCAGCTACTGTTTTCTCTCCCTTCCCAAACAGACGCAGCCTGGTCTGTGGCTGTGCTGCCCCATAGCAAGGAGACTGATTCACGGGAGACCCTCCTTCCATCAGTGACAGCGGGGAGTTAGCAACGGGAAACCGGGAACCCGAGCGTCTGAAAACACGCTTTTCTCCCCTCTGCGCCTCAACATCTCTGGCTAGCCTACCGCAGGGCTTGAGGGGTGTTGAAGCTAGGCCGGGGCTCAGCCACGCGCTCCTCCTCCTCTGGGCCGTCATCCTCCACGTTGGACAGTCCCATCTCGTCCTGGAACTGCGGGCAGAGGGGATGAGCATGTGCGTGTCGCCCAGCGGCAGGAGGGGAGGGAGGACTGCAGGCAGGAGCTTCCTCACTCGTCCTCACTTCAGAGCGCCCGCGATCGTGCACACGGCTGACCATCAGGTCAGGAACAAAGTGTCTCAATCGACCACTTGCAGTGGTGAAGACAGAGCAATATCTTTTAAGAGACAGGTTTATGAGAAAGGCTAACTATCTGTGCCCAGAATATCCCAAAACTAATCTGCAATCTTTAAGGATGATGAATGACAGTTGGGGAGGCCACCCAAAGTCTGCAGGGGGGACTTTACTAGGAAGAACCCATATATGGGTACTCAAAGTTTATTAGTTAGCGAAACTCTCCTCCCACCATACTCTCTCCCGAGGGCCCTGCACTGGCTTGGTCAAACCACCCTCCTGGACGGAGAACCCCGGGACCAAAGGACAGAGCTCGCTGGTGAGTCCACATCCACCACCCCGAGTCCCCACTCAAGCACCACGTACTCACAGTTTCAAACAGCTCTTCCATGAGTTCATTCACTTCCTTCTCTGGAAAAAAAAGCCACACAGAGTTGTTGGCTCAAGTTAGTTTTGTTTTCCAATTAGAGGGAATTCCAAGAAGACAGTATGTCTTGTTTTCAGCAAGACATTTGATAAAATCGTCATGGCTATCATTCATTCATTCATTCAAAAACGTGTCCTGAATACCAGCTATGCTCAGTCCCTGTTCCAGATGCTTGGGGACACATGACAGAACGAACGGACCCTTCGGAAAGTTCTGCTGGGAAGACGTACAGGAACATAAGCTAGATGACCTTCCCATAACGCAAATCCAGTCCTGTCCTGGCCTACTGAGTGCAGTCAAGACAGAACCTAAACCATCAAGCAACTGCATCAATGACCCAGAAGACCCAAAAAACACACTTATCACATCTGTAAATCATATAAAGCTGGAAGGGACTGCTAGACCAACTGATGACAGACTTAAAACCCCATGTGTTGTCAAATTAATTGGGTGAAACTTAACTTTAAAGTCTTACATTTAGGATTCTTCGAAATCAGGGTGTTTTTTAATTTTTTTTAAATGTTTATTTATTTTTAAGAGACAGAGACAGAGCGCAAGCAGGGGAGGGGCAGAGAGAGAGGGAGACACAGAACCCAAAGCAGGCTCCAGACTCTGTGCTGACAGCACAGAGCCAGACGCGGGCCTCAAACTCACCGACCGCAAGATCATGACCCGAGCCAAAGTCGGACGCTTAACCGACTGAGCCACCTAGGCACCCCAAAAATCAGTTTCTTAAATGGATGAAAAGGTGAAATGGCTCAAAATAATCTGAAAAAGATGTGAATACTTTGGTTGACCTCAAGTTTAATATGACACAGCCACTCCAAAACCATGCGACTATCCAAGAAGGCAAGCCCGTCACTGAATGAGTGCAGAGTCACAGGCCGGGTCCAGGGGACTGAGGCAGGTCTGTGACCATCTCTGTAAGAGCCCCTCGGAGATGGCAGAAAGAGCCATGCAAATCCATGAGAAGGACAATGAAATCCACTTTGACAAAAGGTCTGATAATTCCCTCTAGAACTAAGCACACACCTACCCTATGACCAGGGATTCATCTCCTGGACAGCTGCCCCAAGACAAAGGAATCATCTGTCTTGAAACAAGAAAGTTCAGAGCACTTCACTTCATTCAACATAGCAAAAACTCAGAAAAACCCAAGTGTCCGTTAACACCTGGGAACAGATAAAAAAACAGATGACCAAAGAGGTGTATTTATACAACAGAATCCTGCACAGCGATGGAAGGAAAAAAGCAGTGATACTTGCAAACAGATGAATCTCAAAAACCGTGTGCTGAGTGAAAGAAAGAAGCTCTACACAACAGAGCATATACACGAACTTCTGAAACAGGCAAATCTAACCTGTTACTGAAAAAAATCAGAACAGCAGGTGCTTCGGGGAGGCTGGGTTGGAAGGGGCATGACGGAGCCTCCTGGGGTGACAGTTCCATATTCCCACAGGGGATTATTACACACGTGGAAGCATGTCAAGACTCACTGAACGCTACACTAAAATTTTGTGTAATACATTGTGTATAAATTTCCCTAAAAAGAGAAATTGTAGAGGGGCGCCTGGGTGGTTCAGTTGGTTAAGCGTCTGACTCTTGATTTCGGCTCAGGTCATGATCCCACAGTCGTGAGATCAAGAACCGGGGTCAGGCTCTGTGCTGACAGTGCACAGCCTATTTGGGATTCTCTCTCTCTCTCTCCCTCTCTCGCTCTCTCAAAATAAATAAATAAACTTAAAAAAAACTGTAGATAAATACTGAACTCTAATTAATGAGACGCATGTTGAAATGTTTCAGAGTGAAGAATGCTGGTGTCTCCAGCCCACTTTGAAATCAGCATGAGAATAACCCACATGGATTGACAGATGGAAAGAGAGCCGGATGCAGCTGCTTAGGATAAAACAGATAGATTAAAAGTGAATTACAGAACCTAGGTGGTGGGTACGTGGATGTTCAATGTACAATTCTTTCAACTTTTCTATGTATTTTTTAGAAGTTCCATAAGAAAATGCAATGGGAGGGAAGTTTATAAGAAATAAAGGCCATGGGGCACGTGGGTGGCTCAGCTGGTTGAACGTCCGACTTCAGCTCAGGTCATGATCTCACGGTCCACGAGTTTGAGCCCCGTGTTGGGCCCTGTGCTTGACAGCTCGGAACCTGGAGCCTGCTTCGGATTCGGTGTCTCCCTCTCTCTCTGCCCTGCCCCCGCTCACGCTCTGTCTCTCTCTCTCAAAAATAAATACACGTTAAAAAAAAATTTTTTTTTTAAAGAAATAAAGGCCAGAACGCAGAGGAAGCAGACTAGGGCAACTATGTTTGGAGAACTGAAGAAACAGCACGTTTGACACAGCAAAGAAAAAACGCAGGGAAAGGAACATCTCTTACTATGCACACTTGGGACAAACAGAAGTACAAGGGCACACCCAGGTTCCGGAGGGAAAATGTTAGGAGGCGCTCAGCGCTCAGCACTGGGACGCGCCACCCTCACCACTGAGGAGCTCCCTGACACTGGGTCGCCCACAGATGAAAAGGCCACATCACAGGAGCTACAAACACACCCTCAATGGGAGGAAAATACATGAGCACGTGAAGCTTTCCAAACTCTGTGATTCTACACTTAGTTTTTAAATGTTTGTCATCCGTGTAAGGACACGTCCTCTTATACGGATCATAATATGATAACGTCACACGTCAGAGGATACGGGGTAGGAATAAAACCGGAATTCTACCTCAGTTTTTACTGATGATCACAACCCTACAACAAGAGAGGACGGCCCTTCGTCTAGGCATCCCAGAGATGTTCACTATTTGGCTGGCAAAACCCATGACTGCAAACAGGAGACACTCCCAAAGAAGCTACAGGCCTGGGGATAAGATGGTTAGGACCTGGGCAACCATGAGGTGGTCACTAAGGACACATAAAGTCGGGGGAATCGCAAAGCAAGAACAGTCCTAACTGGGAAGGTCTTCCTGAGAAATGGTCTGTAAAGGGAAGACAAGCATGCACCAGGCCGGGAGCCACGCTGGAAGGAGATCTTCCCGGCACCCGGCAGACATGTCTCATCACCAGATACGTGGGCCAGTGGTTCCTGGAACAACTCATCCCTTGGTTTCTGACACTAGACATTCTTGGTTTTTCTCATAGTTTCCTCGACTCCCCTCCAGCTTTCTCAAAGCCTAAGTCCTCAAGCCTTTTCAGTCTACACTTTGAATCCTTTCGATGCTTCCTCTTTGTCCTAACATACCAAATAAGGGAAGATCTTCCTAAAAGAAATGGCATTCCACATTTTAAAAATTTTTTTATGTTTTAAGCAGGCTTCACGCCCAGCACAGAGCCCAACATAGGACTTGAACTCACAAACCTGAGATCAAGACCTGAGCTGAGATCAAGAATAGAAAGCTTGGGGGCCCTGAGTGGCTCAGTTGGTGGAGCACCTGACTCTCCATTTTGGCTCAGGTCATAATCCCAGGGTCATGGGATTGAGCCCTGCATCAGGTTCCTCGCTGAGCAAGGGGCCTGCTTGGGATCCTCTCCCTCCCCCTCTCTCTCTCTCTGCCTCTCCCCCACTCGTGCTCTATCTCTCTTTCTCTAAGTAAATAAGTAAATAAAAGTCAATACTTCCTGAAATATATGTTTTCTATCATCGCTAACATAGCCAACGAAATAATTTTTAAACAAATGCCTCCAGCCAAGTCATTTAACTGTTCTTCGTGCCTCTAATCTTTCTCTCTTTACCCACCAAATTAATACATTAAATTGGTGTTAAATCAAAGTACTATTTTTCAGAGCGCCTGGGTGGCTCAGTCAGTTAAGCATCCAACTTCAGC